AAGAAGTCCAAGCTTTATCCATGAGAAGAGGGGAGTGCCTGTTTTTTTCACTGCTCAGCCCCCTCTGCCTCCAGAAGTCCACCTTGCTAAATATTGGTGTCCCCTGTCTGAATGCAGTGACAGGAGCAACCGTCTTCTGGCTCCAGGAGAGCATTGTCTGCTTGTGAACAAAGGCAGTCTCTTGTCCTGAGTTAGCTACTTGGTAGGGAGATGCTTGTGAGCCCAATAAGGTGTCTCCAGGGCACCTGCTCTTTGAGAAAGCTGAACATGTGTGTGGAAACGGGGGGCAATGAGTCGTTGTCTTGTGTGTGAATAAACAGCATTTTGCCCCTTTGGGAATAGGCTTCAGCTTTGCAAGGTTTCTCTTCTCTAGTTAGATAGAAGTATACTAGTTTGTCCGGGTAACTCCTGAGAGCTGTAAACTGGCCCAGTGGTATGTGCGACTGCCACGTTTGCCTGTCATGGGTTGCTTGCTTTTGTGGCGAGGGAGACAGGAGATGAGTGAGCTCTGGAGCTCTTCTTATTTCTGCTGGAACCATTGCCCAGAAATGTTGCACAATCTGAAGAGCTCGTTTTTTTCCTCAGGGACCCTGAGTTTGTTTTTTACGACCAGTTGAAGCAGGTGATGAACGCATACAGGTGTGTATTTCCCTTCAGGTGGGGTTGGGTCTATGTCTGTCTTTAGGGCTGTAGTTCCCTTGGTGACCTCACCCTTTGTCGGTCCATTTCAGGGTCAAACCAGCTATCTTTGACCTGCTTCTGGCTCTCTGTATAGCAGCCTACCTCGGAGTTGCCTATGTTGCGGTCCAGGTGAGGAAAATGGCATGATCCTTCTATTCCTTCACTTCCTTTTTAAGCTATAAGAATTTGAACCAAGTATGCAGCATGGGCACCCATGTCAAATTCAGCCTCTTCTCTGGAGGATAGAGGCCCCCTGATTTTTATGGCCCATTAATTCTTCTGGTACTGATGTGTTCACCTCCATGGGTGTCTTCACAGTCTTACCAGGCTCATAATTCAGCTCCTTTCTGGCTCTGCAGCATATTCCTAAGAGGGGGTGGACCAACCTAGAGCAGAATTCTTCTCTTGGGGATCATGGGCGGGAAAGGTGTGCTACATTGTTAGGTGATTAGCTTACATTCTGAGCTCTAATAGTTAGTGTGGGCTTCAGGCAGAGGGCCTGTCTGTGTTATCATTTGTTTGTATAACTTGTGTTGCGCATGCCCTGAGCAACATAACTTCTACCTCCCTAAGTGCCCGGACAGTGCTTCTGACAACATACCTACCACCTCTCACTGAGGCACTTCTGTTATGTACTATACTCTCGCCCCTTGGCACGGCGCATCTTCATCAGATGTGCTATAGCCACACAATTGCACTGCTGTAGACTAGCCCTGAGCCATCTGAGTTAAATCTGCCCTGCTGTATTAAGAGTTTACAGCCTGTGATGGGTCAGATCGTGCACTGAGATGCAAAACATCAGCACTCCAGATGCTTGAATTCAGACTGCTCAAAAAGATCTATGATTTTGTGCAATTAAGAAGAAACTCTCAATGTTTTGGAATATTAATACTTTCACGAATAATATCAGGAGACGTAGCAAGCAATTCAGTACATAGGAAATAAAGTAGCCCACGTTCAGGTGGCAGGTTACATCAGAAGCATGCCACATTCTAAGCTTGTTGGCCTGTCAGTAGATTGAGGGAGCTCGTTCGTGCGTGCGTGCGTGCGTGTGTGTGTGTGTGTGTGAGAGAGAAACACATCTTTTCCTGTGGGACGTCACTCTGCATCCCGACTATTTCCACCCTCCCTCCCCTTTCTCTAGTGCTTGGCTGCTGCACAGAGCCTGGGGAGGCCATGGAGTAGCCTCCTTCCCCGGGAGGAGGGGGAGCACAGCCTTTCCTCTCTCTTCCCCCCCTTTGGACACATCTTTTCCTGTTTTTTTCCACCCTCCCTCCCCTTTCTCTAGTGCTTGGCTGCTGCACAGAGCCTGGGGAGGCCATGGAGTAGCCTCCTTCCCCGGGAGGAGGGGGAGCACAGCCTTTCCTCTCTCTTCCCCCCCTTTGCCCAGTGCTCCGGGAAGGGGGGCCAAATCCATGACACATCTTTTCCTGTTTTTTTCCACCCTCCCTCCCCTTTCTCTAGTGCTTGGCTGCTGCACAGAGCCTGGGGAGGCCATGGAGTAGCCTCCTTCCCCGGGAGGAGGGGGAGCACAGCCTTTCCTCTCTCTTCCCCCCCTTTGCCCAGTGCTCCGGGAAGGGGGGCCAAATCCATGAGCCGCACGACCCAGGAGCCACGCAGCCTCTTCCCTCCCCTTTTTCCCTGTGCTTGGGAGGTGTAGTGCGGCCCCGGGAGCTGTGTGGCCTTTCTTCTCCCCCCACCTCCCCAGTGCTGGGGGGGGGGGGCGGAAGCCATTCCTTCCCCGGTGCTCACCCTCTCTGCACCCATGCCCCCCCACACACCCTGGAGGGGGGAGAGCCAGGACAGCCTTGCTTCAGCCCCCCTCCCTGGCAGCCATGGGGAGGGGCAAGAGCCAGGGAAGCCTCGGGATCAGGGGTAAAGGGGAGAAGGCTGGGGCCAAGGTGGCCTCAGCCCCTCCTGGGTGGGGGGGGCAGTGCCAGGACTGCCACACAGTGGCCGGGGGGGAGGGGGGCCTGGGGCTGCCTACCCGCAGAGATTATGGTTGGCGAGCATGGCAAGTAGGGGGCACTGCCCCCTAGTATATATTAAATAGAAAGAAAAGCACAACTGCTCTTGAATAATTCAAAAGGTCCTACCCACCTTATTTCTTATTGGTTGATTAGATTGATTATGGGTCACTGGGAGATTGCTGCTGAGGTTTGGGTTTCTAAGCATTTGTTTATATCTGCAGGAGCTAATTAAAAGAAATTAGGAATCATGGGTTTTTAAATAAAACTGCAAAAAATAAACCCATGTTAAAGGATTAACAGTTGGCCTTAATCTGTGGTTTCACCTGTTATGCTTTGCAATCTCAAAATCATGACAAGCCAGATGTTACTATCAGTGGACCAGATCACACATGCACTGAAGTCAGTAGGAGTTTTGCCAGACATTTCTATTGGAGCAGATTCCAAAAATACTAATTGCTGTTTAACAGCAAATACCTACAGCAATTTTCCATGAAAACAGGAGTTGATAATGGTAATGTGGGTAAGCTCAGTGGGCATTTCTGTAAATCATTCATTGTCCTTTCCTTATAACCCTTGCTTCACTAGCAGTCATGTACTAACTGAACCTAGTTTGTCAAACCCTGAGCAGCTCTATCCAGAACGAGGCAGAGTTCTCCTTAGGGTAGTGATATAAGCGCAAACTAGGGACAGAAAATACCGATTAACCAGTTAATTGGTTAAATGTTAGGTTGACACTCCCAGTGATGGGACCAGGGGGCTGCTGCCATCTCCTGGCCCTGCTCTGGGGGTGGGGGTCACTTCCGGGCACTGGTCAACCGGTACCTGGTAAGCATCACCCAGTAAGGGTGATGCTTCCTGGGTAACCAGTTAACTGGTTACCTGTTCACACTCTTAGTGCAAACTCAGCTCTGAGACAGATTCTGCATTTCTATGCTAGCACTGCATAATGAGCTCCTTCCTTCTTGCGTGCAGAGAACACCACATATTGCCTGTTTGCTAGCACTAACATGGACTCATTGCTCTTTTCCCCCTCCCTTTTCTAGCACTTTGGTCTCCTTTACAAGATGGTACAAAGATTATCCCTTAAATCCAAGCAGCAGTGAAGTGACAAATCATCAATCTGCGGAGCAGCACTGAGTCACCGGTGAGCCTCGCAGGAGCTTCTGCCTTCCACTGACTCCTGCCATTTCTCCCTCTCTCCCCTAACCTCCTTGGAGGAAGGAGGAAAACCGAGATTAGCAGAACTTTCCACTCTTCTGCACCTTTTCAAGGTTTCTCCTCACCTTGCCCACTTTCTTCATTTTGTGGTGAGGGAGATGTGCAGAGACTCTGTCAATGCCTGCAGATTGTTTAAACACTGTCTGATTTAAAGCTTCCCCCCCAACAGTGAGTTTCTGTAAGTGCGAAGGTGTTGAACCCGGTTTCTTTCTCAGACATGTGCCATAGAGTCAGCTTGGAGACTGAATCTACAAGACAAAGGGATGGACAGCTCTGTCCAGCCAACTGGACTCAGAGCACTCGTTTTTAAAAATGTGCACATGTAAATTAAAACAGAATGATTAGCACGTTTCATACTGCACCTCTTCCTTCAGCTTTCTCCCTGGCACCAGGAAGGAGCACTCGGCAAGCAGCGTCTTCAGCAAATGGTTGATTGCATTTTCTTTGGACAGTGCACTTACCTGGCTCTCTTTTGGGGAGTGCACTGTACACGGTCTGGACTGGTAATCTAATTGGGAAATGCAAAAGGGTCATTAACTAGATGCCATAGTAGGATTCCTTCCATAGCATGTTCTGCTCCCTCAGCTGCAGGCTACATTTGCCCTGCCCCAATTTCTTTGAAGTTTTATGCCTTTGAGTTTGATGCTATTGCCACTCTGTGCTTAACTCTCATTTGTGTATTTTCTTTTCCCTTTTCCCCTGTTCATAGTTACTGCAGGATCAGGTCGAAAGCCGCCTTTATATTTAAGTCCTTTGATGGTTATATTAATAATATAAGCAGGAACAACCTAGTTCCTGCCGTTATCTCTGGTTAATAATGCATTCACTTCCATTTCTTTCTCTTTCCCACTTGTGGTTGGGCAGATTTTAGCCCTGTTCACCTTCATCTCAGGGTCTTGTTTAGCATTTCTCATCATTATTATTTATAAAACACTGGTCCTAGCCTATTATTGGTAACTTACCAAAGCTCCATTGTTGCTTCCTTGACGTGCACCCCAGGGTATGTTTGCAAGGAGACGAGATGTTAGTGATTTGTTGTTTTTTTTTTTAAAGAAGGATTTATAAAAATGTCATTAAATGTTACTGTTTCCAGGTTGTAGCTAAGAGCACGTTTTACAGCTGGAGCTCACTTGTTCACCAATGCTTTTGTTCTCAAACAAGATCTTGCTGCTTCTGTTTGCTAATATATTAGGATAAAGAAATTGCACTGTTGCCTACAACTATCAATGCATGTGCAGAGGCCTGGGAATTTTTCATTCTAGACAGACATGACAAAGTGTGATGTCTCTCAGTTTTAAACCCCTCTGAAGTCCATAGCCTGAAGTACCATTTTCTGATGGGTCCTCAGACTGCTAGCAGATGAGGTGCAACAGTGTGGTGACAGCCATGTCCTTACATGGAAACCTCTCAAGACCATTCCCAAAACTTCTAGATCAGTGGTCTCTGTAGCTGACACTTGAAAGACCAAATCTCCTGCAGGCAACAGAAATCTAACTTTTAAAGTACTATATATGCATAGAAATACAGTAACTACAAAAAGTATGTCTGCCAGCTAAGATGACTCTCTTTATTTAAAATCCCACTTTCCATTTGAGGTTGAATTTCTGTCTTGTGTGGGGCTTGGAGTAGAACTATTCACCTTCCTCTAAGCAAGAAAAACACCAGGTGTGTCCTTGTTTGCATTATTCATTGTAGACACATTAGCTGGGGAAAAGTGGGAGTGGATGGCCAAAGGTCCTTAGTAATATTGCTCTTTGGATGAGGATCTTTCTTTTTCAACCTTTTTTAAAGCAAGAGAAAATTCACCTTGTTCTAGGTTCTTCACAATGTGGGCAAGCTTTCCAAAACTCAGAGGCTCGCTCTTTAAAGGGCCTGATTAGCAGAATCTGTTGCTGAGTTTCTTTAGATCCAGTGATTTTGGATGGTATTATAGGTGCCCAGTACTTCTGAAAATCAGGCTCTAGAGGCAAGATCACACTGTATCGTTGGGGGTTTTAGCACCACTTCTAGGCAAGACATTCTTGATGGATTTGGAGCCTGTTTTCTTCCTGTTTTGAAACAGTTGAAGGAAAAACTTGCCTGCCATTAGCTTTTATGCCCTCCAACATAGGAGGAGCAATTGCATGGAGATCTCTGCTCAGCCCTAGGATGCAGCATGCCCAATACAGATAGTTTGCATATGCTGAGTAAGAGGCTAGAATCTCAGGAGCATTTACCTGCCAGACTAAGATGTTATAACGAAGTTTATAAGATAACTAAGCTTGTAATGGTTGCAGCTTGCTAGTGCTCTACACCCCAAAGAATGTTTCCAAAATTCCCCATCCCAACTCATTACTGAACCAGGCTTCCTGGGCCACTGTTACTCCCAATAGACTAGCTAATAGGAAATAAGTCATTCACAATTCTGCTTCAATTCACTCTAACATACATTTTATTTTAGAGGTTTGTGTCCATTGGTAAGAGCTAACACTGCTAAATTTGGTATGCAGCTTCCTCTTCTCTCTTAAAGCAAGGCCAGGGTTGGGTTGTGACAGGAAAAAGAGATGTGCCTGGAATTTGATAGTTTTGGGGGGAGAGGGAGAGAGAGGAGGGACACAATCATTATACCACCTCTGTGGGCAGCAAGCCTGCAGGGGAGAGCTATCCTGCAGAGTGACCATGGGGCAGCCATACCACCAACGTAGTGGCCAGCTGGGGATCTGGCTCCGCCATCTTGCCTGCCATTGGTAAGTGGCCTCCATTGCTATTCCTGCCCCTCCCCCAGAGCACCACTGGAGCGGCCAGCCCAGTTCCAGCCACACCACACAGGACCCATTGGCGCACCCATAGGTGCTGGAGATGCAGCAGTGTTTGGTGGTTTCCATTTACAACCTTTCCAGTTTGGTTCAGTGGCTCTCTGCACCTCCCTTCTATACAGATTTCTCCAGCCCCTCTCCTGAAGCCTGAGACTAATACATATATGAACCATTGATTGCAGTTCTGCACCCTTCCAGGTTGTAGTATTAAACCAACCATTTGCAGAGCCTTGCATGGCAGGAAATCAGTCTTAGAAGTTTGGATACTATCAAGAATGTAGTGGCAGGGTGGGGCTGCTTGGTTATAATGCACATTCAAGGGCAGTGGCAAATGATGCCCTGTTCTCTTCACAGCTCAAAGCAATTTATGCTACCTTGTTTAGGCCTGCCCACCCTATCCTGTCACTATAGAAAGTAAGTTCAGCTGATGGTAATTACTGCAGCTAGTGGTATTGCATGGCAGATCAAAGCGTTTCCTAGTGATACCAGTGCATTTATATAATCATAAATGAGAGAGAAATACAGCCTCCTTGCACCTGAAGATCTGTTCAAATCTGGTGTAAACATTTAATGGGGAGGGGAATTAACCACTAGAACAATTTACCAAGGGTCATGATGGATTTTCCATGACTGACCATTTTAAAATCAAGATGAGATGGTTTTTGAAAGATGTGCTCCAGTAATTGTTTTGGGGAAGCACTACAGCCTGTGTTGTACATGAGGTCAGATTAGATGATTGCAGTGGTCTCTTCTGGCCTTGGAATCTATCAGTGCAATCCTGCTATTGCAGGGCTGGACATTGGAACACTTTATTGCTGGGCATTACCAGTTTTGCAGGGTTCTCCTTGCAGTCAAACTAGAAACTTTCAACCCATCCTTGTGCTGTCCTTTGGGTTGGTTTGTAATGACAAAAAGCAATGATGCTGTACAGAGGCAGGTTCATATTTCACTGTATCTGCTTAATCTTCCCAACCATAAAATAGGCACAGAAAGAAATCCAAATGCAATTTGTTTTAGCTTTATAGATTCCAGGACCAGAAGGGACCACTGATCTCTCAGATATTTCTGAAGGGCATTGTCCACTCTTAGCATAGCTATGTACCCTATGTCTGCTTTTGGTTTGTAAGGCGATTGCTTTGTGGGCAGAAGAAATAATTAAAATGGATTGTCAAGTTCATGCTGGTGGGCCAAGATAATACCTTAGCTAAAACACAGTGCAATGGGACAATACTGCTACATCCTTGTCAACTTTACCTGTTATCCTGAGGGATGAAACTCAGTACACTGCAGAAATATGTATGCTTTCTAAACAGGTTTTATCTATTGCAACCATTTTTCAGTGTCTCTACATACACAGACTGCTGGGAAGGCAACACACATGTAACTCGCCTGTATGCTACAGCTAAGATTTTTTTTTAACTTGTTTTGCTCACAAGAAAATCAAGCCAGAGTCATTAGGTTTGATAGGAGTAGATTCCGTGGACAATATTGATTTTTTTTTTTTTTTTTTTGGCTAATAGAATTTTTAATCACTACACTGTTTATAATTTCTGTAAAAGAGAAGAAACTGGAAGTTGTCATTGTTGCTATTGTCTTCCTGTAAAGCCAGGTACATAACAATTGCAGTAGAGAAAGTTTACACATCATGGGTGAAATCTGGTTCTCTTGAGACTCAGCATTGCATTAAGATTTGATGAATCCCTTTAAGCTAACTTTCCTTGAATTCAGTAGTTTTGCTTAACTGAAGGATTGCAGAATTTGTCCAGGCAACAGTGTTTACTATTTCTGAAAAGCTGGCTGCCTTGAAATCCTGCCTCGTACATGCTACCTCCACAATTTAGTCCTATGTTTGCATTGTACCTTCTGATCTTCCCATACTTAATATTCTGCATGTGCAAAAGGGACTTTTCAAACACCTCACTTAGATATAGGTAGGTGAAAACTGAAAGGTGACCCTACCCTTTGAGGATGAGCTATTAGGAAAATTTTGTAAGAGCTAACACTGCTAAATTTGGTATGCAGCTTCCTCTTCTCTCTTAAAGCAAGGCCAGGGTTGGGTTGTGACAGGAAAAAGAGATGTGCCTGGAATTTGATAGTTTTGGGGGGAGAGGGAGAGAGAGGAGGGACACAATCATTATACCACCTCTGTGGGCAGCAAGCCTGCAGGGGAGAGCTATCCTGCAGAGTGACCATGGGGCAGCCATACCACCAACGTAGTGGCCAGCTGGGGATCTGGCTCCGCCATCTTGCCTGCCATTGGTAAGTGGCCTCCATTGCTATTCCTGCCCCTCCCCCAGAGCACCACTGGAGCGGCCAGCCCAGTTCCAGCCACACCACACAGGACCCATTGGCGCACCCATAGGTGCTGGAGATGCAGCAGTGTTTGGTGGTTTCCATTTACAACCTTTCCAGTTTGGTTCAGTGGCTCTCTGCACCCCCCTTCTATACAGATTTCTCCAGCCCCTCTCCTGAAGCCTGAGACTAATACATATATGAACCATTGATTGCAGTTCTGCACCCTTCCAGGTTGTAGTATTAAACCAACCATTTGCAGAGCCTTGCATGGCAGGAAATCAGTCTTAGAAGTTTGGATACTATAAAGAATGTAGTGGCAGGGTGGGGCTGCTTGGTTATAATGCACATTCAAGGGCAGTGGCAAATGATGCCCTGTTCTCTTCACAGCTCAAAGCAATTTATGCTACCTTGTTTAGGCCTGCCCACCCTATCCTGTCACTATAGAAAGTAAGTTCAGCTGATGGTAATTACTGCAGCTAGTGGTATTGCATGGCAGATCAAAGCGTTTCCTAGTGATACCAGTGCATTTATATAATCATAAATGAGAGAGAATTACAGCCTCCTTGCACCTGAAGATCTGTTCAAATCTGGTGTAAACATTTAATGGGGAGGGGAATTAACCACTAGAACAATTTACCAAGGGTCATGATGGATTTTCCATGACTGACCATTTTAAAATCAAGATGAGATGGTTTTTGAAAGATGTGCTCCAGTAATTGTTTTGGGGAAGCACTACAGCCTGTGTTGTACATGAGGTCAGATTAGATGATTGCAGTGGTCTCTTCTGGCCTTGGAATCTATCAGTGCAATCCTGCTATTGCAGGGCTGGACATTGGAACACTTTATTGCTGGGCATTACCAGTTTTGCAGGGTTCTCCTTGCAGTCAAACTAGAAACTTTCAACCCATCCTTGTGCTGTCCTTTGGGTTGGTTTGTAATGACAAAAAGCAATGATGCTGTACAGAGGCAGGTTCATATTTCACTGTATCTGCTTAATCTTCCCAACCATAAAATAGGCACAGAAAGAAATCCAAATGCAATTTGTTTTAGCTTTATAGATTCCAGGACCAGAAGGGACCACTGATCTCTCAGATATTTCTGAAGGGCATTGTCCACTCTTAGCATAGCTATGT